AATGAGGTGGAGGTCGGTAGCGTGTTGTTCCTCATTGAGTTCGAGGTCGTACTCCTCGACCCGGTGGGATAGGATCACGCTTCGGCGGGAGCTCGAGCTTCTCATTCTCTTGGTGGCCGAGCTCGGGCTCTTCATTCTCATGGCGGCCGAGCTCGTGCTCTCGGTAGCCGAAGTCCTTTGACTTGGACTCAAAAGATCTCTCGTTCGGCGATAGGCGAGGTTGGACCTCGTATCGCCCCTAGGATGACCCTTGCTTGGTCGGATGGACCCTTGCAAGGCCTAGAGAACCCTTGCAAGGTCTGGAGGGGCCTTGCAAGGTCTCGAGGATACCTGCAACGTTTAAAGGACCCTTGCAAGGTCTGAAGGACCCTTGCAAGGTTTGACGGACCCTTGCAAGGTCTAATGGACCCTTGGAAGGTCGGGAGGACCCTTGCCAGGTTTGACGGACCCTTGCAAGGTCTAAAGTACCCTTACAAGGTCTAAAGCACCCTTGCAAAGTCCTTGGTCTCTTGGTGGCCGAGCTCGGGGTCTTCATAGTTGTGGCGGCCGAGCTCGGGCTCCTCATTCTCTTGGTGGTCGATCTCGAGCTCTTCATTCGCATGGCGGCCGAGCTCGTGCTCTCGGTACCCAAAGTCCTTTGACTTGGACCGAAAAGCTCTTTCGTTCAGCGATAGACGAGGTTGGACCTCCTATCGCCCCTAAGAGGACCCTTGCAAGGTCTAGAGGACCCCTGCAGGGTCTGATTGACCCTTGCAAGGTCTATAGAACCTTTGCAAGGTTTAGAGGACCCTTGCAAGGTCTGACGAACCCTTACAAGGTGTGAAGGAATCCCGCAAGGTCTGACGGACTCCTCAAGGTCTGGAGGACCCGTGCAAGGTCCGATTGTGTCCGAGCCCGGGCTCCTCATTATCTTGGTGGCCGAGCTTGTGCTCTTCATTCTCTTGGTGGCATAACTCGGGCTCCTTAATCTCATGGCGTCCAAGCTCGGGTTCCTCGTAGTTGTAGTGGCCAAGCTCGGGTTCCTCATTCTCATGTTGGACAAGCTCGTGTTCTCGGTGGCCGAGCTCGGCTCCTCGTAGTTGTGGTGGCTGAGCTCGGGCTCCTCATTCTCTTGGTGGCCGAGCTCGGGCTCCTCATTCTCATGGAGGCCGAGCTCGGGCTCCCCATTCTCATGGTGGCCGAGCTAGGGCTCCTCCATCTCATAGCGGTCGAGCTCGAGCTTCGTTGTCGTGGCGGCCGGTCGAGCTCGAGCTCCTCCAAGTTCCTCGAGCTAAACTCAACAAGCCTTGAGCTTGGCTTCTCGGATGATGGGAGAAGGATGAGCTCTCTTGTGTGAAATCAGAAATCATGAGTATGTACACCCGAGACAAGCCGAGTCTCTCAACGCGTGCTCGACAAAAAAAGAGGGGTTTGATCAAGCTGAGGTTGGCCATGAACCAAAGTAGGGCTAGCTAGGGTTTCTCCCCCTTCACGGAATTGAGGTTGGCAACGTGGGGTCATACCGCACCTTAGGAGAATTGAGTCCCTCCACGGAGCGGGTTAACAAGGGCGGGGATCATGGCTTCGGGACCTCCGCAAAAGTGACAAATCCGCGGGCTGCACGGTCGGCCTCGGCCCGCTGCGGTCTCGCGCCGGCACCCTAGGGCCCAACCACCTTATCACGGATGTGGCGTGGGTCGGCCGAGTTCGTACCTCTTCTCGCTGTTCGCGCCGACCTTTGCTGTCCGCGTCGTCTCTCCTTTCCGACGGTCGTGGTGAGTTGACTTCTCCATCCGCCGGTGCCTCAGGTGCTCAGGGCACATGAGTGCTTGGGACACCGCATTTCTACGGCGGTGGTGAGGGTGGAGGTGGCGGGGCACCCCGTCGGAGCCCCTCCGGTCGCTGCGTGTTCGAGTACGGCCGCCTCCTCTTGTGGGTTCGGGATCGGGAGCACAACGGGCGGTGCCGACCCACCATGGGGGCGACCGTTGTTGAGCCGACCCCGGGTGTTACGTGAATCATGTGAATTGTGGATGTTCGACCCTGATCTTGCCATCGTTATGGATGAATGATAGTAGGGAGAACGCTTAATCTTGTATAGTCGTCTCAACAAGAGCACCAATGATGGATTATATGAACCTAGGGGTCCGGATTACACAACCCGAATATAATAAGTAAATGAATGTAACGAAATATGTGATTAAAACGATAATAGGGGTAGAAATATTATATTAATTGGATGTATAACGCTATTACATAGGTTCAGGACGTGTAATAATGAGACAAGTGTTGTCAGAAAGTAGAAGATACCACGATAAGGACATCAAGGAGAGATTTTATAGCCTATGTCGCCATAACAACCCCGGAGAAACGTTGGAGATGACCCCAACTGCTTTGGACCGCAACAATAGCCGCATGACTCGGGCAACACGGAGACCTCGTCCCTGGTCGAGCCGACCCGGGTGGCCGAGCCCGCGCTAGCCGACCCCGTGGTAGCCGAGCCTACATGGGCTGACCCCTGGGTGCCGAGCCCATGTTGGTCGACCCCAGAGTAGCCGACCCCAAGGTGGTCGAGGACCCCGGGATGGTAGCTGAGGACCCCCGTGGTAGTAGCCGAGGACCCTGTGGTAGTAGCCGAGGACCCTGGGGGGGCAGACCCCTCCATAGTCCGTCCGGCCGCGTGCGTAGTCAAGTCGGGTCCCGGGTTTGATTAGCTTCATAATACGTCGCCCGGATCCGTTCCGTAATTATTCCATCACACATGATGTGTTCTCACGTTCTCACCTAAGCAATATATATATATATATATATATATATATATATATATATATATATATATATATATATATATACTAGTATTTCTTATGCGCGATGCGAAAAAATTAGGTGCCCAATATTATTATTTTATATTATGATTTTTTATATAAATTATTATAAATAATGATAATAATAATAATAGTAGTAATAATAATAATAATAATAATAATAATAATAATAATAATAATAATAATAATAATAATAATAATAATAATAATAATAATAATAATAATAATGATGATGTAATAGAGTCAATAGCATTCAAAAAAAAATGTAAACTTATACATTTGATATTTATATTGTATAAAATAACTCCAATATTGTATAAAATAACTCCAAATTATAATGTATAAATATTATTATTATTGAAGAAGATAAGAAAATATATATATGGTGGTTGCATGTGCCTAGTAACAATAGTGGAAAAAATAACGGAAGTTATAACGGTAGGGTATATTTTTCCACAATATTATAAAGTACAACCTTTATAGCATAATGTGTAAAAAAAATTTAACGGAAAAAACGAACATAAATGAAGGGTATAACCTTCATTCACACTTATTATGTTTTTAGATATATATATATAATACATATATATATATATATATATATATATATATATATATATATATATAATTTCCTTAGTATCAATAAATAATTAACTAGCATTTTTTTTTGTAAGTTATTCAAAATTTCAAAGTTGAATGTTTCTTTTTATTTTTTCACGACAAATATATTGTTCATTACATTAACATTGATTATTATTGTAGTCTTTCTTTAAAAACCCACTCTAGTAAATTTCATCATGTTTATCAAATGACTTAACAAATTCATTAAAATCTTATTATAAAAGATCGAGCCGCAATTTTGAGGGCCGCTCAATATCTTACCCTTAGGGCTAGCTTTGTGAAGAAGATAAATTGCGAGATGTATATCAATGAGACGAATACACTAATACTCGCAATATATCTAACTCCAAATCGTGTTACTAACAACAATCATACTAGGATTTACCTTTCTCTAATGCTATTGTAAATTTTATGTAGTGTTGATTGAATTAGGAAAGGTATAATAGATCATGTTCAGATTATGTATATACACCATGATCTATTGCAGTTAGTTTAGTATTTTTAACATTAAAGTTATTTTTCGTAAGAATTAATGATTGTGGAAATTTACATGTAAGAATAAGGGGGGTGTATTCAATCAAGACTTTTAAAGAGTTTCAAAGACTCTTAAAGTGATGGATTTTAAAAGACTTTTGTAGAGATTTTGTAGACTTCCATAGAATCTTTTAAATTTTCATCAACTTTGTAAGAGTCTTTAAAAATCCATAGGACAAACATTTATAGATTTTTAAAAACTTTTTCATATTAAAAAGTCTACAAAAGTCATTAAAACTCTAAATTGAATACACACTTACAAACATTTCATAACTTTTATTAATACATTATTTATGAACATACAATAACATAAAATTATGTTAATTATATAAAACAAATTTGTAAAAATTTGAGTATATTAATTCTATTGATTGCAACAAAAATTTATAGAAGATTTCTGATGGAAACAACAACAAGATTTCAGCATATTAAAAATCTGCTGCAAACAGCAGCAGTATAAGCAGATTAAAATCTGCTGCGAACAGCAAGCTTGCTGTTCACAGCATGTTCGCTGCTGCGAACAGCAAGCTTGTTGTTTATAGCAGCAAATTAAAACAAAATTGCATAAATAAAAAAAATTATAAAGTATAGTTTTACGAAAAGTTTGAAACGTACCGTAAATTTTGGTAGAAATTGATGAAAAATTCATCTGGTTGAGATAGAGATAAAAGTCTATAGAGAAAATTGAAAAGTTTGGGGTTGGAGGGTCGGATTTCATCTATTTATATTAATGAAGAAAAAGTCCACGGAAATCCTATTCTGATAGAGTCTATGAAAGTTGATAAATATTTGAATACCAGTAGACTTTTACAGACTCTATAAAAGTCTGAAACGAATACCAGTATACTTTTAAAGACTTTTGAAAAGTCTGAATCGAATACCGGTAGACTTTTAAAGAGTCTTTAAAAGTCTAAATTGAATACCCCCAAACTTCGAAAGTTAATAAAAGTCTTTAAAATTCTTTAAAAGTCTGGATTGAATACACCCCTATAAGAGAATATGTATTACTAAAAGGAGAAGTTGGTTAAAATTGAATTGAAATTACAAATTGTTGAACACTTCATGATAAACAACATTTGTAGTTGAAGTACAACTCATATCACCTTCATTGCCAATCAAGATCTTTAAACCGTTCGGGTTGCTAACTCTTGAAGTAGCAACATACAATTGACCATGTACAAAAAAATGTTTCTTCAGCAGCAGTCCTACGTGAGATAGCGTCTGTCCTTGGCTTTTATTAATGGTCATTGCATATGACAGCATAAGCGGGAATTGCCTTCTTTGGAATTTGAAAGGCAATCTTATATCAGTCGGAGTCATTGACATCCTTGGTATCAACACCCTAGTCCCGCGGTTGTTACTAGAAACTATCTTTGCTTCTATAACATGCTTCGATAATTTGGTAATGACCAGCCTAGTACCATTGCATAACCCCATTGAGTGATCGATATTCCGCAATAACATTACAGGGGAACGCACCTTAAGTGCTAGAGCATGGTTGGGGATACCAGATGCTCGCAACCAATTTAGAAACCCTGGAGTATGCAAATCTGCAAGGATACTGTCACTTGAGTTAGACTTACAAACTGTGTTGCAACTGAAGTATGTCTTGCTCTCAGCTACATGCAAATGACTCAGATACTCGTTGATGGAGTTAACCACATCAAGAGTTAGGGCCAATATTGCGCGACATTCTAGATACTTATGATCGCATCCACCATTTTTGAACATGAGAAATGTACTATTTACAATTGTGGTTATGTGGTCATGTAGAGGGCAACAACATATCTGGTGGGATGTTAACATTCGCATAACCATCATTTGGTCCACCCATTGTTCCATCTCCGATGGGTGCAATCCATTTTGCAAAATCTCCAGTTGTAGATCAACACCAGGCTCCATCCTGTTCAATATTGGATTCTTTGTTAATCTAAGAACTTTACATGTATCCCAAAGATAAGAAGAATTTATAGTTGCTCCTACAATGTCTTGTCTAGTACCTTTAGGTATTACAAGCAAGATTTGTCTAAAGTCAGCCCTAAAGACAATAGTCTTACCACCAAAAGTTTTATCATCACTCAATGGATCATGGAATCACATCAAATCCCTCGGTGTTCTATCTAAGGCCTCAAAGCAGTGCTTGTGCATCATCGGTTCATCATCCCAAATTATTACATTGTTTGAACAATTAATTCTGCAAGGTGACTACCTTGACTAATATTACATGTTGAATCTTCATTCAAAGATATTGGTATTGTAAATCTAGAGTGTGCAGTTCTGCCTCCAGGCAGAAGTAATGACGCTATGCTAGTTGAAGCAACATTGATAATTATATCACCTTTAGAACGCAATTTTGCAGGGAACGCCCTCCAAAGAAATGTCTTCCCGGTACCCCTGTAGCCATATACAAAGATCAAACCACCATTATTCAACGTTACATCGCCCAAGATTGTTTCATATACTTCCCTTTATTCATCAGTCAATTGCTTTTTCATACTTTGACTCTCTACATGTAGAGCTGCACGATCATAAGCTAATTCCTCAAACAATAGCCTATTATCAACCAAACATGTATCATCAAAGTTGGGTAAAGGTATATTGGGAAACTCTGTCAACGACTTGTTGTACAACTGCAACAGTTTCTCCAACTCAACCAAGCCAAAATTCTTCTTTGCATCATCTGTTAGTATCAAATCTACCGTGCACAAAAGAAGGGAATTATAACTGGATCGTTAGGTTAATTATTAAACATAACTGTTACATGAAGCTAAAAAATGTAACAGTAAGGTGAGAACAAACCCTCGTTCTATAACACTCCGTCTACTAAACTGTGCATCCTTTGAAAGATGTTGCAACACTGCATTCCAAATGATCTCAGGCCTATTGAGTAGATTCGATGTCAACAATATGACAAATAATTTCCTCAGAGCTGGACTAGTTGACTAGGGATGCCAATCGGGCCAGGCCACTCGGTTTCGGGCTAGCCCTGTCGGTTGTCGGGCTAATCGGTTATTTTATTATTTTATTTTCGGGTCCGGTTTGACCCTAACCCTAAACTTCGGGTTGTCGGGATTATTGGGCTGGTTGAACCATTTGAACTAAAATTAGAAACTGAAAGTGAGTACCCATATTTAGAGTAGGGATGGCAACGGGGCGGGGCGAGAAGTATACTCCCCGTCCCCTTCCCCGGTGGGAATTTGAAAATAGTCCGCATCCCTGTCCCCGATTAATTTTTAGTCAAACTAATAAATTAGTATATGTGTGTGTGTGTGTGTGTGTGTGTGTGTGTGTGTGTGTGTGTGTGTGTATAAAATAGCATTTTCTACACGTAATGCGTGAAAGTTCATGCCAAATATTAAAACATTGATAAATACAAATAATTAAAAATTATTAAAAATTATAATTCAAATTATATATACACAAATAATATATGTATTTTGTACACACACATATAATTTATCATTCATAGAAATTAAATTAAAGTATAATCAAGTATTAAATTAATTATATAATGATTTTAATAAAATGATAATTAAAAAATAGGAAAAAGATAGGATAGATATACGTGTATGGTGATAATGATGTGTTATAAATATTAGGATTAAAAAGTAACGGTGTTATAACGGTGTAAGGGTAATTTTCTCTAATAACATTGTAATGTACAACATTTAAAGTACAATGTACACATTTATTAGCATACAAAAAGAGGGACATAAATCAAGGATATAACCTTGATTGAGACTTTTTTTAGATATATTTATTCATTTATATATTTATATATTTATTTTTAATTATAATAATTATTCCATGTATGTTAGGTTTCACATCCACTAGTAGAAAATGGACCAAAAAAATACTACAATACACGTCTTTAATTACAATTAAAGACTTCTAAAGTAAGGGAAGTAACGCGCAGTGGAATTTAAGTAAATATTTAAAAGACTTTACGTGTCTTTACTAAATTAGTAAAGACGCGAAAATTTAATGCGGAGACAGTGCGCGTCATTATCGTCAAGGTAAAGACTCGTATTTCTTTTATTTCATACATATTAAAAAAACCATATAAATATCTTTTACTCCACAAAACCCTAAGTTTCCTCTTTCTCTATCTCTCCCTCTTGCCGTCGCACTACACTTCTCCCTTCCGCACCTCAGTCTCTTCCACCTGCCCCGCCTCCACCGCTCAGTGCACTAAACTTCTCTCTGTCTTCGTCTTGCTCTCCTCAGTGGCTCCCTTCCGGGCCTCAGCGTATAAGTCATCCCCAAGACGGAGTGCGTCAAAGAGTAGGCCGTGGCCGTGGCCGTTCTCCGCTGGGATATCATTCAACGGCATCTTCAGATTCAGATCTATAACCGTGAAAGGCGATGGCGGCTTCAGATTCGACCAACACATCGCGTGTTCTACATCCAGCAGTGGATGTGGCGGCAGTGACCACTTCAAATCGCATCTCTCCCTTCTGATCCAGCCTTCAATCTCCATTTACTGAAACGAAGACAACTATTACGATCTCGTTGGGTGATTTTCTATTACGATCCTTTCTCTACTCTACATTGCAGTGAATCAATTTTATTTCTCTGTTCTGGATGTTTCGAAGTTACCAAGACTGGATTTTTTGAGTTCTGTTTCCTAAACTGTGAGTGTGCGGCTGATAGCATTTTTGCGTTTTGATTTGCAGTAAAACTCTATTGAAGCCGACAATACTTTGGATAAAGATATTGAGAAACCGTAGAGAGATTCAGCTGGAGCAGATGCTCAAAGAAATTGCCAAGCTTCTCGAAACTGGTCAGGAAGCCACTGCTCGGATTCAGGTATAAAGCACTCTTTCTATGCTAATATTCAATCCCAGTGCTCATACAACTATTTTCATTTTATATGCAATTCATCTAATCCTACCTACCATTTGGAGATTTAAATGATTATTAAGTATTAACAAAGGGGTTTGCTGTTACTATATCATGTGGAACATATTATAAGAGAGGAGAAAATGATGGCTGCCCAGGAGATAATTCAGCTATTTTTTGAGCTCATAAGTGTTCATCTTCCAATAATTGAGGCACAAAGGTATACATATTTGGTTTTCTGATGAGGGAATATTGGATTCTTTAATCCTTCTTTTTTAAGTATCACACACACACACACACTTGATTATTGTGACTCTTCAGCATACAGGTTTATCATAGTACTAGTGTATTTCTCCATTTCAGAATAACATGTAATCTGTAATGAACAAAGAACAAGTTTAGTGTATGCATGCACAACAATTATTAATGTTTGAATGTACTTGAACTATTAGAGGATTACTGTAAAATTCCTTCAGCATCTAAGGTGTTTCATTGAGTTGTTTTGAGTGCCATAGGATATGTTTATGAACAATTCCCTTTTATATCACATTCACATGATCAAGTTTGCCTGACATACTTGATTTCCTTGATATGATATGCTTTATAGGGCTAGTTGTGGCATTACTTGGAAAAGAAACTACTGCTGGTGATTTTCTGGTTGAAGATGTTCTAGAGGCTGGCCTAGCACAACAAATAGAGCAACCACTTCAATCAGGTGAGATTGCATAACTTGAATGTTTTCTTAATCTTCTGGCATTTTATTCAGTGTATGTGCTTGCTTGTTTTCTGGTGCTCTGCCATTCTTTGGACCGAATTTGAACCTTTGTTTGCATGCAGCCCTGCAAATTAATTTAGTGTCCAGATGAGGTAATATGAATCAAAGTTTTCTTTTTAGTATTTAATCATGAAGAACTGATTTAGTGTATGAGCTTGAGTAGGTGATTTCATCATATATAAATTAATGGAAGTTGGAGTACTACAACTCTTATACTAAACAAACATTAGAATTAGTATGTAAGCATTCAAGTTAAAACTTATTTATTGGATGAACAGGTGAAGACAAGTATGTGGTATTCATCTCTGGTTTGAGACTTTGAGTGTTGGGAGCGGCACCTCCAATCCTCTACAATTTCAGCTTTTAATTGATCATATAACTAGACATCTAGGAGATGAGATCGAAGGTTTTGTTTCATTTTCTTCTATCACATATTTTGCATGTTACTATCTGATTGTAAGTTAAATAAATTTCTCTTATTTGTAAACGGTCTTCTTATTTTATTTTATTTTGTGAGAATACAGTGTTCAATTTCAATTCATCAGACACATCTTCTTTTTGTCTCTTAAGTTGATGTTTGTCTATGAAATAGTCTAAATGATACAGTTAAAAAATATTATGTTGTAACTCTGGATATAAATATGTGCCTAGAATGGGCTCTACTCATTGTTATGGTAAATCCAGTATTAATTTTATAATTGAAAGAGTTGCACTGTCTTTTAAAAATTGATAGTATATATACTCATTGTTATGGTAGTTGCATTATAATATTTTATAGTTTATATACTCATGTTCTTTTAATTATCCAAAATTTTGTAGGTATATCATGACACAAATGTGTATTCTAAGGATGGAATATATGAGATAAGGAGGGTATGGATAGACTATTTTGTAAATAAGTGCATATAAATGTTTATTATGTGATTTAGATGGAATTACATTATATATATAATGATAGATTAATGTTAGGGTTATTATATTGTGTTTAGAAAATTATGTATGTTGGATTATATATATATTGTGTTGAATGGTTTGAACCATATAAATGTTGTTTGGTGGGGGAATTTTCTGTTGAGCATGGTGGGGGAATTTTCTGTTGAGCAGGGATTATATTGAATTAAATTTAATATTAAAAGAATATAAGTACAGGCGCATTTATTTATTTATTTATTTTGTTAAACACAATACGCGTCTTTACTTAGCTAGTAAAGACGCGTATAGTCAAGCTTCACGCGGCTTCCAAGTAAAGACGCGTAAAGTTCCAGCTTTTCGTGTCTGCGCCATACGCGTCTTTGCTAAAAAAGACGCGTATTGTCAATTAGTAAAGACGCGGATGGTTAATTTTGTACTAGTGATCACATCTATAAGAAAGAATAGTTTTCAATAGTTCGGGTTATCGGGCTAGCCCTTTTCATTTTGGGCTGGCCCTATCGGGCCATCGAGCTTATCAGTTTCGGGCTCATCGGGCTAATGTTTTTTATTGGGCTAGCCCGTTCGTGCCATAGCCCTATCGGTTTCGATTTTATCGGGTCGGCCCATCGGGTTTGCGCTAAATTGACATCCCTACAGTTGACCAATGACTTGCCTCTGTTACTACATCAACATATTCTTTGTCATCATCAAGTAGACCATGCGCAAAACATGCATCTCTAAAGCTTGAATACTCTACTCCCTCAAAGGTCATGATATCTTTAAAACTGGTAGGACCTCGTACCACATTGAAGAGGCATCTCAAGTAATATATTTCACTGCTACCTGGTGGAACATAAAAGATGCGACCAACTGCAAAATCTCTCTTCATTGGATGCCATTCTCTGATATCTTTCTTCCAAAGAAATTTGGTAGGCATTTCAATATACGTCAAATCCTTCGCCAGATCAAATGTTTTATTTGCCTCGAACCAGCCAGTGAACATACTTTGACCTACTCTAGGACGATTTAAGACATTGTCTATTCGATCATCGTCCTCGAACACAACTGACTGGCAATTGGGCAGATGAAAGCTTAGGCATTCCATTGGAGGCGTCCTGAATTGAACCTCGAATCGAAATAGTCGCCATGTTGCTTCACATGCAGAGATGTATCTGCAATCATAGTACATGCTTATCTCATCAAATTCTTCATTTGACTGTTCATCCGTTGTGCTCATGTAGAACTCGGATGTAACTCTGTCATTTCCTTTGTTGTCATACTTGAACAGGTACTTGATAGATCTCGATTGGTTGCATTATTCAACATTTATATGTGCCGAAACAAAAGGAGTATGTATCTGTTATGTGGTATAACATACCTATTGTCTAACACCACGCCATTTTTCAAGATAGTTTTGACATCATCCCGGAGCATGTATATCGGATAGCTGTCTTCATCCCAAGAAGAAAGGTCAACAAACTTCTTTGGAAAATGCTTGGAACATCGTCCGTTAACCATGTCAACAACACCAATGATATCTGGTTATACCATTCACAATGCCTTTATTCACACATTCCTCATACAAAAATAATGCATGGCAATGTTCACATAAATTAGTTAGGTCGCTGATGTCTGGATACTCAACTAAAAAAAAAAAGAATTCAATTAAAACCAATCAAATAATCTTCGTATGGTGAATTATAACATATGAGGCACAATTCATTATCACTTACCAACTGTTGCATCCATTTTTTTTTAATCCAATGATCTACATACAGCTTCATCAAATTCTAAACTTAGGTTATGACACATGGATGGTGTTTGACGTGTGTCTTGTCTAGTGGATGGTGATACCATTTGGCGTCGATGAACCGTCCCTTGCATAACTAAATGACAATTAAAACAAAAACGTGTTAGAAAGATGTTAATGCTAAAATAAGAATTTCATAAACGCAAAAATAAGAATTTCATAAAAATTACTTGTACTAATCATTTGTCACATCACTCAACGGTAAATTAGTTTGACCTTGAAATTGCATTTCAACAGCGTCAATACTACTGTTGTTCATGTGATTTTTCTTGGACACTAAAAAACATGTACAAAATTAAATTGATATCTCTTTTACAAAAATAAAGACATTGCAATAAAATAAAATAATTTACCATTAAACTTATGTATGTTGTAACCCATTACCTCAAACATGATCAAAGGAATTGCAAGGCAAGAGAGAAAGTAAGAGACAAAGCAAGAAGATCATCTTATTATTCATTGTATTCAATCATACAACCACAACACTTCTATATATAGTGTACAAACGTAACAGAAGATATAATGGAGACATAAATACAGGAACCGTTACAACCGTTATATAATTTATAATAATGTCCACATAATGGTATATTTATAACACTCCCCCTTGGACATTATTTGTCCACGACCTTGCCTCAGTTAAAAATTTGCAAGAAAAACCCTGTGGGAAAAACCTAGACAAAAAGAGTACTATTTAAATATATTCATGTCTCGTTAAAAACTTAACTAGAAAAACCACGTGGGGAAAAACCTAGTTGTAGAAAAGAGTACATGATATTCGTAAAAATCATATATTGTATTGGTTGCCTCATTAAAAAAACCTTAACTTAAGAAAACCATGTGGGAAGAACTTAGTTAATGGAAAAAGAGTACAACTATAAGCCTTCAAGGCATAATCTTCAAGATTTTCGGGGTCTTGTCTATTTATTTGCAACTTTCCCCCCATTGACATTACTATATCATACTCATGCCTCGTTAAAAATCACACTGGAAAACCCCAATGGGAAAAAGCTTAGTGAGGAAAAGAGTACATGGTATGTATTTAATGCAAAAGGTACAATTGTTAGTCTTTTAAAACCCAATCTACAGGATTGATTCTAGTGAATGTACTTCCCGTCTCCCCTTGAAGATAATAATCTTCAAGTTCTACAAAACGTGTAGAGAAAGAATATGGTACAATTTTCAAGATTGTCATTAGAATTTATCATTTTATACTATTATCTCGTGACTCTTCTGGAGTATACATGGGTCGAATATTTATATAACTTGTCTACTATCGTTCAAATATACCCACTTAGCGATGAAGTAATGGACTTCTGATCCCCAAAAATATCCACATTATCTAGATAGTCTTTTATCTATTTCGAGATATTTGGACGGCAATTAACGTACTGAAGGATATATTTAGGATATTTTCAAGATGGACTTATAGATATCCTTCTAGGAAACGATATTTGAGTTTTCCAATCTCACGTAACATTATTAGTCATGGTAATAAACTTTCATACTTTCTACTTGGGGAGGAAATACCTTTAGTCAATTTATTAACTATAAGAAAGATCATAGTTAGTAACTTACTAACTTTTATACTTCTTATTTTTGTGATTTTCGTTCATCACATTTTTGAGAAAATCCATTAGGGATTTTTAAATATAAGTAGCTAGTTAACCATATAAATATGTGATAACTATGTTTATTAACTACATATCTAATTTATATACTGCTAGTTTTATCGTATAGCGGAATATAATGCCATGGCCAATATTGGGTCTCGGCGAAAACCCTCAACTCGCATTTTATTACATTTCTTGTATGCCTTAATTGTTCTTTTCTATCAAAACAGTTAGCACGCTTCGGGCGTTATACTACTGTTTTAATTTTTGGATTCAGATTTTACGTATTTATGAGCAATAGAGGCAAAATATGTTGTCGACAACTGTAACTGCTTTGTAATTAAATATCTTTTATACACATGGCAATTTTGTATCAACCAAATATATGGCATTTCCCAAGAGTATTTGAATTTGGTTGTTCCACTTCCCCAATATTTTAGTTATTTGGTGCACCTATAATTTTACTGGGGAGTTTTCGTCTTCTAGACGAATATCTTCAAGATAAAATTTTTTATATTTCAGGAGTGACGAAATTTCTATACTAGATCTAGTTTTTGCAAATTCTTAAACCAATAAATTTCATATGCTTCCAGCATAAAGAAAAAACGGTAGAGATATTAGTCCTAGTTGGGGATTTGAACTCGTAATATTTATGAAATGGACTTTTAGTCACTCCTTGATGTTTCTAGCAGATTGTTATTTCTGAACTTCTAGTTCAGTATAAACTAGTACATGGGTTTGAATATTTTTATCTCATGAAATTTTCTCGGCATTTAATAATTAGAAACTTCAAATCTCCCCCTAATGCCTAGAAAAGATCGTATAATGCAACCAACATCACTGTTGATTACGCATACTAAAGGTTGAACGCAGATAGGGAAATGCACTATGGTGTTGAACCATGTACTAAGCGTTTGTAATATGTAGTGGATAAGTATGGTGGTTTCTCAATTCTGGAGGTCCCCAAAATAAATATAATTCCTCCATAGAGAAACAATTTAGAGTACTCAACATACAATATCGTATGGAGTGTACTTAAAAAAAAAAAAGATAAGTTCATCTAGCAATCATGAAACAATACATTGGATGTATGACAAATTGCTAAAAATACCACATAGTGTTGTATACATGCGCATGATGGCAAATATAAGAATAAAACCTTATTTAAAAAAAGATGCCATAAATAATGCAATTCAAAATCAATGGGTACAACAATGCTACCCAAAAATCATATCACACTGATTTTCCTAAACTCATATATCGCCATTGCACCTTTACGTGTAAACACATGCAAAAGGGTTCCTTTTTCGAAGAGTAGTTTTTCTACTCTAATTTCAAAAGAAGATGGTCTTCCATCAGCCTCATAATATTCCCTTTCCATATATAAATATGCTTTGAGAATTGAGATGGTAAATTTGTGCTCAAATGTTTTTAACGGCAATTTATATATGGATAATCAAACATAATTTTTCGGTAAGTTTCACCAATTTCCTTGAATGCACAACCAAACAACCATAAATAATAAAAAATTTATGGTAAAGGGATGAGTATAAATTGGCACATACATAATGTAGAAGGTGCAATCGTCATACTTGTTTAGAACCGTGATAATGGAACCAGCAGCGCATGCTTCTCAGGCTCCCTCAGCGGTGGAAAGCGTTTGATGATAACTTGACAAAAGGGTTCAACTGCATGTGTCTACGAGACCAAGAATGAGAGTTGGGTGTTTACCAGACCTAGTATGGCCCGGGGGACCGATTATCCCCGCTATTGGCAGAACATCACCAGTAAAAAAAAAGGTTAGTAGTTAGGAAACGCTATAGGGCTAGCTCAGATGAGACCGTATCTTCTCCTTTCAACCAAGGCAGTGGCCCAAATAAAACATGCATATGTTATATGTATATCATAAGGGATTAAATCATCATAGGCCCAAAATAATTTTTATTGAAGTGGACCATGTCTGGCCGAGTCGGGCCAGACCCGGCCCAAACGATAATCCATTGCTTTGGTTGAATATATGCAAAACCTAGCTGCCTCAAAATCAACATACATACGCAGCCACTGTGAGTATATAACCATTAATGTGCAATCCAACTATCAGCTTAGGCTTTTAGTTGAGATGGAGCACATGCTTTAATTTGGTATCAGAGCCAGACCAAAGGTCATAGGTTCGAATCTCAGCGCCACTCATAAGCGATTACGGTTTACCGGTCCACGTGTTGCTTAGAACCCACCGCACACGTGAGGGGGTTTACCAGTCCACGTGTTGCTTAGAACCCACCGCACACGTGAGGGGGCGTGTGAGTATATAACCATTAATGTGCAATCCAACTATCAGACAAACAGTAGAAGAAAGGTTAAGAAGAGAGCAGAAAGGGGAGGATGAACAAACAGTAGAAGAAAGGTTAAGAAGAGAGCAGAAAGGGGAGGATGGATTTAGTAATGAAAGAAGAACAAACAGTAGAAGAGAGCAGAAAGGGAAAATAGAAGGATGACAGGGAGAGGGAGAGAGACGGATGTGTAATGAATCTAGTGATTTGCAGTAATGTGAAAATGAATCTATGGAGCACATGCTTTAATTGCCACAGGGAGAGGCAGAGAGTTTAGAGCGAGAAAGAAAATATGAGAATTCTATTCCAAGCATAATATCCTTCAGTACACAATATTTCCTATTTTATACTTAGATATATAAGAAAATATCTAATAACACTAACAATTTAGCAAAAGATTAACGGCTCAAAGAGTAAACGACATCATCTTGGTGTTGCTTCCGGTTGGCTCAACTTTTTCTTCCCATTCTAAAGTCTTGGGGCGTTACATTACCTTTCCCTCTAACAGATCCTTGTCCTCAAGGATCACGCAATGAGAATTGAATGCACATTTGATGCTGCCTGGGCATACCTGGAATCACAAAAAAAAAAAAAAAAAAAATCTTCAAACTGATTCAAACTGTAGTGCTTCTGTTTGAAGAGAGTTCACAGGATGATTGAGCAAATGGCTTCCCCATATCTATAAGGGATCAGGGACACACAATGGAGCAAAATCATTGCTCACCCTCTGTTACACTTGACCATTAGAAGCTTTAATTTTCTCAAACTGCCTATATGCATTTTCTGGTTGAATGGTTGTAGAGAATAAAACTATAGTACCTTCCCCTCCATCCCATCCTTATCCAGTACCCATTTTCCATAAAAGGTGGACACAGATCAAAGCTATGCAATAATTTGTGCATCCAATGATAAAGTGGCTCTGAGAATCCCATATGCAAAGCAAGGCAACAAACAAATATAAATGTTTCTCTTCATTTGCAGTGAAACCCATAAAAGTATGACTAAGGGTGTTTTTTCATTAGTCCCGTTACAAAATTAAGGCTCAAATGACCCCCCCCCCCCCCCCCCCCCAGAACAACTGATTCCCAAGTAGTGATTAATCTGTCAAAACTACCAATAACCAGCTCACTTTGTGCCTTGAACCCCTCAATTGCCATTGTTTTGGGACTGATTAAATCTAAGGTATTCGGCTCTGATTTGTATGCATAGACTGAACCCAAACTAGCACTCACAGAATTGCTTCTCGTCATCTCCAAAACCCCTTGGCTAATTTTAAAGGCATGTATCGGTTTGCACCCCATCAACTGCAGAGTACTCTGTAGACTTCCACCTGGATCAAAAGGAAATCTATTGCACCGTTGCATTCTCGAACTGCCATAGAAGACATCCAATTCCCCTTCAACTTGTAGCATCCACCTTATAGTAGTTATGACATTTCTTACAAAATTTGCTGCGTAAGGCATGGGCACATTAGCCCCAGCTATCCTCTCAACTGGTGTATCAAGGTACTCAAGGCCTTTTTCCACAATTACCAGTCTGTTGGTTTTCCTAACAGAAGCATTGATTGTAGATCTATCAAGTGGTCTGATTGAGTGCAAAATGATAATCTCAACGCTGATTCCTTCCCTTGCAAGAATCTCACCAGCCTTGAGAGCATAACCAACCATTTTCGAGAAAATAGTGATTGTCACATCCTTTCCATCATGCTCAATTTTAGATTTCCCAATTGGAAGACAGAAACTAGAAGCAAGAGCTTTAGCTGATATAGGGAAGGTCTCACAACAAGAAAAATCGCGACGAAAAATCGCGATGGACTATATTCTGTCGCTATTTAGCGACCGAATATATTCCGTTGAAAAATGGTGACGGAAAAGGCGACGTAATTAAATTTCGTCATGAATCTTGGCGCAAAGATAAATAAAACCGGCGAAATATTGGCGGCAAAATATTCACAAACGAATTTACGACGGAACTAATTTCCGTCGCCCATTTTGCGACGGAAAAGGGCGACTGATGTTCGTTCCGTCGCGATACCGACTTGTTTCCATAGTTAAATGAATTAAATTTTACCAAGTGGTTTGTGGTCCACTGGTATTTGATTGCTCCCCTATGTGGGAGGTCTAGGTTTCGAGCCTTAGTGTAGGCGTAAATTATATTGGTATCCCCTTCTTTTGTAATAAAAAAAAAATGAATTAAATTTTAATATATTGCGACCATCTATCTGGATTCCATCGTAATTGTTTTGTTAAATTTTATTTTATCTTCTAAGTTAAATGGTGGCGCTTTTAATATTATAATTATAATTATAATAATAATAATAATAATAATAATAATAATAATAATAATAATAATAAGTAAAATTCTACCTAATGTTCTATTCTATCGCTTCCCAATCCCCAACTCCTGCCCCCATTCCCCAAGCGGCCAAGCCCTAACTCAGGCCTCCCTTGCCGACCACGACTGAACGACTCCCTTGCCGACCACACGGAGACGAGACATGGAGATACCGGAACACTCCCTTGCCAAAGACCGCGACCCTTGTCTCCGGTCTCCACCCTTGCCGACGACGAACAGACGAAGCTGCTGCCCAACGAGACACGGACACCGGAAGACTCCCTTGCCGACGACGAAGACCCTTGTCTCCGGTCTCCACCCTTGCCGACGATGAATGGACGAAGTTGCTGCCCGACGAGACCGAGGTACACTTTACAATTTACACTCAACATATTAACTGATTTTACAACATATTAAGTGTTTTGCAGACTAGTAATAATCCTATCAGTATATATTTAAATTCATGTGCCCTAGATTTCAGTGGTTTCACCTTTTGTTTATGTATATTGTTGAAATTTGAGTTTAGTATTTTAACACAATGCCTGAGCAGTAAGCACAACATCAAGCTTTGTCCTCTGTGTTTCAGTGTAACTTTTGTCAAGAATACTGGTAATAGTATTTGAACATAATGCCTGAGCACAATTGCATGACTCTCTTGGCAACAATTTAGTTTGTTTTTGGATTGATGGACACTCTTGGTTCTTTATTATTGTAATGTTCACCCATATAGGCATGTAGTACCAACTTTAAGATGGATTACATGTACATTATTCTTAGGCATATAGTTTTCAAATATGATGTTTGTGTATCTATATTTCTAGATGGTTGTTTGTATGTTTCTTCCACTGTTAAATTAGTTTGTTTATCTATATTTCTAGATGGCTTAAATGTCGAAATTGGTTTGTGTATCTATATTTCTGTTTGAGGAAGCTAGGATGTGCTAATGTGCTATATAATTATATTGCTGTAAAGTTGGAACTATATATAAATTGGAATTGAATGGGAAATTTGATTTTAAAGATATGAGGCTTCAAATAGCTTCCTTCCTCTACTTGTGCAGTAGGAAGGCTTTAAATGGGAGTAAATTTTTGAACCTGTGCATTCTATGCTGCTAACCTTTTGTGTGATACATTCAAATGATTTTGTTTATCGTAGATCTTTTCTATATATAAAGGATTGACAGAATTTATGAGCTTCAATTACATTTTGGTTTACATGGGATGAACCAGATTTGGAACATTATATTTAATTTGCACAACTTCACCTTAACAATTAATAACCTCTTCTTATTGCAGTGAGTTCGTTAAGTAAGCAAAAAATTGGCAATTTTGAGGAAATCAGGCAGTAGCTCTAAGAGGTAATAGTCACTGTTTCTAATATTTTCTTTTGTTTTATACACTATGTATGATATGTGAAATTATTATTTTTTTTTAAAAAAAACAAACTATTGGCCCTTGTACATTTCTGTTATGTTAGATGTCGGATGTGAAGTAATTGAGGCCATGGCTGCCATTAACAATGTACCTCTTCTCTACAATCATTGCCCTTTACCTTTTGTCTTCTCCTTCTTTCACCAATCTGAACCAAGGCTCTATAAATGAATCACATTTCAGGCCAGGTTATGCATTGTTATGTGATATACTTTCTCATACTGCTTAGCTGTTCACGAAATCGTTTGTTTTGATAATCTCGACGGATCTGATATTTGTTTTCACTATAAAAAAAAAAAAGAAAAGAAAAGTAAAGATTGGTCTTGCGATTGTGTCTTGAATAAGATTTTTTTTTAAACTGCTCTGAAATTGTTGATTCCTAATAGCTAGTAAGTGTTTGGGTATTTACTTTAGACAAACGTGTGGTTTTCAGGGGATCCTATTTTATTTTTTAATCGTCTTTCTTAATTCTTATTGTACCTAGACTAGATCCTATTTGCGTGCTAGTGGATTTTTTTCCTCGTACTTTTAGTGAACTCCTTTAAAGTAAATGGGAGGATAATAAAGTGGAAAAGTTGAAGAGGAAAGTTTAATTGCTATGATTAAGACTGGTATTCCTGCTCTACTTTAGATAAATGTTTCTCCTCCTGAAGTAACTGAATTGACTGGACTGGTATTCCTGCTTTACTCCTAGAGTTCTTCCATGGGTAATTTTGTCCATTCATACCATTGTTGAACACATTTCTCAATGTCATCATATAGGATGTTATGGAAGAAAAATGTAGCTCTGCGGCTTTGCTTTGTGGCATTTCTCCCTGACATTTTGGACTCCAAGGCATAGGGAAGGAACAAATACATTGAGACACTGTTATCTGTTGCTGAGAAGTTCAAAACGAGGCCCTACAGGTAAGTGCAATAATGTGCAAATTATTTTTATTGATTTATTATTTTCTGGAAGGCTTAAGCTAATAAGTAATCCGTAACGAATGCAAGTAGACACAAAATTCATTCATAAATTGACATGGCTGTCAAGCTTAACCAGTCTTAATGATAATACAACTATGTTTGGGCTGCTGCCGGTAAGCAACCAGATCTCGAGAAGCATATTGGTGTTGGTGGTTATGGCTATCCTGCACTAGTAGTCCTAAGTGTTAAAAACCAAGTATATGCACCCCTTAAGAGTTCATTTCAACACGACCATATTAAGTAAATGCTTGTCCAAGCTAATTTCTTTGCTCTCTATGTGATGTTGCGATTTGAAATGTGATCCATGAACATTTTCATATATGCAGAGAGTTCGTGAGAGAAATTGGAGAATTAGGGGGTAGGGGAAGAAATTTGCCTTTAACTGGCACCCTTACAATTGTAAAGACCAAACCTTGGGACGGTAAAGATGGGGAAATCATGGAAGAGGATGAGTTTTCCCTTGAAGAACTTATGGGAGATGATACAGTTATAACAAGGATGAATCTTAAACTTCAATACTTCTTCTTTCAACATTATAGAGAATGGTACTCTCTACTTTAAATTTTTGAGGATTTAATAGGTTAGATAATGTGTTAATATCTTGTACTTAATCAGGTTTTAGACATATTTAATGCAATGATACTCGTACCATATGGAATCACGTTGCAAGTAGCATTGTGGTATGTTATTCTCTTATAAGTTAGTTACGATTAATTAATAAAGTGTGTGTATAATGGCAGCAAATGCATCATCGTCATCTCTATGCTGTTTTTTTCCCAGCCTAAGGCATTTAACAGTATGATTGAGATATAGGCAAATAAGATATTTTAAAACATTCATTACTATTTAAAATCACAATTTAATTTTAAAATAATTTAAAAATGCGACGGAATATAAGATTTGCGATGGAATATTTCTTGCAAATGATGCGACGGAATTACGACGGGAAACATTTTCGTTGCGAAATAGGCGATGGAATTTGCGACGAAAAATATAATATGGCGACGGAATATTCGGTTTAGAAATAACGACGGATTTGCGACGGAAACAGTTCCGTTGTGAAATGGGCGACGGAATCGCGACAGAAATATTCCGTCGCTAAGTCCGTCGCCAAAAGTTGCGACGGAATTATTCCGTCGTCTATCAAAATATGACAAGGCGATAGACGACGGAATGATTTCCGTCGCGAAATGCGATTTGCGACGGAAAAATTCTGTCGCGATTTACAATTTTTCTTGTAGTGTCTCACCTACTCTAATCCCAACAAATCCAGCCTCCGTAATAGGTGTATCCAGAACCCTGTCCGGATCATATTTATCCAAATGAACTTTCGAAATCTTGTATGCACCCTGGTAATCTCCGACCTCAACAATTTCGTCACAATTCACCACCTCATGCATACCCATATTTTGAGCAGTAATTTCAACCTCACTTTCTTTATGAAATGGTAGACTAATCTTATGCATGAAATTCTCAAGTAAACATGGAGTAACACTTTCCATTACCTCAACCTCTCGGTTTGCCTTTACTACTTCGGAACTTCCGGCGAAGATCGCCGCGTCCGAATCGCCGGCGAAGCTAGCCGATTCTGAATCGCCGGCGAAGATCCCTAATTCATCGTTCGGAAGCAGATGAGGCAATCCGTTGAATCCAAGAGCCTCAATCAATTCCTTTTTCCAGCGGGTGAATTGAATGTCCATCTGAGTTGCGAATTTCTCAATCAGCTCCTGAGTTGCCTTCGATTGCGTCTCCATTTGGCTGCTTAGGTCAGCTACGGTTGCCTCTAATTTGCTCATACGCGCGTCCATGGATAGGGGTGATAGGGATTTGAGTTCCTCCGGATGAGGGCTTTGATACCAATTGTAATGAATCTAGGGATTTGTAGTAATGAAAGAAGAACAAATAAGAACAAACAGTAGAAGAATGGTGAAGAAGAGAGCAGAAAAAGGGAGAAGAGAAGGAGATTGCAGAGAGTTTAGAGAAGAGAAAGAAAATATGAGAATTCTATTCCAAGCATAATCCTTTCAGTACACAATATTTCCTATTTTATACTAAGGATAAGGAAATATCTAATAACACTAACAATTTAGCAACAGATTAACGACTCAAGAAGTAAACGACATCGTCTTGTTACTTCCGGTTGGCTCAGCTTTTTCTTCCCATTCAAAAGTCTTGGGGCGTTACAGGATGCATCGTCGTCGGTAGGCCCAGAGCCGGCGCCAAAACACCGGAGACTGGAGGGGCATCGTCCGTCATCGCTGATCTCAACTCCGCCGGGAACTAGAACTCCGGTCGCTCTTCCATTTTAGAATTCTTAAGCAATCAAAAGCCAAGGATCACCGCGATCGACAGCAAAAAAAATGTCCGAAAAGGGTGATGAGCAGAGTGACATCAAGGAGATCAATTTACCGCCGCAGTAGATCGGACACCAAGCAGCGCCGCTGTTTCCATCGCCGATCGTCGAAACACGACGTGACCGCACATAATCGCCGGAGAAGATCAGAGAGGAAAGAAAAAAAGTTGGATTTGAAGAATAAAAATAGGTTTGGATTTTTTACTCTATTCGAAAAAAGTTATCCGAAAATGTGTTTGTTTTTTTTCGAAAAATAAAAATTTTTGAAACCGTGGCTGCCGCAACCCTCCACCGGATCGCAGCCTGCGAAAGAAACAACGAGGACCCGAGGCGCCGATCAGGACGTCGATCAAAACAAAAGTCGCAGATTGGTTTTGATTCATTCCTTTCATCTTTTGGAAAAAAAAAATTCTTATAACGTGTTGTAACCCATTAGCTCAAACATGACCAAAGGAATCGCAATGCAAGAGATAAAGTAAGAGACAAGGCAAGAAGATCATCTTATTATTCATTGTATTCAATCATGCAACCACAACACTTCTATATATAGTGTACAAACGTAACGGAAGATATAATGGAAACATTAATACAGGAACCGTTACAACCGTTATATAATCTATAATAATGTCCACATAATGGTATATTTATAACAATGCAAACAATAATTTTATTACTATTACTTGGACTCTTATCCATCCTTTTAGAGGAAGGACATGCTATTGATTTTTCGACCGAGTAATAATTAATCTCACTAAATTACCACCTACATATTAATATGTTTTTGTCATAAATGTTTAGCAAATAAGTATATGAAAAATTTATTACAAACTTAGTCATAACGTACTTTCTATGAGTTATAACGCTAAATGGAGAAATCAATGATTGTTGAAAAACACCATGAAAGTAGCTAGATGATGGATTGTAATCTCTATTAGTGTTGTTAGTAATACCATCATTTCTCTCATATGATTGAAAACTATCACTCTGAAAGGGAAATGGACATAAAAATAAGTTTAGACAAATAAAGACACAAAAATAACCAACTTATGCAATCAAACAATTAAAAATAAGCAAACAAATTAACAAAGGTTAGAGTATCACTACAAAAAAAAATTTAATATGTAAAACAAAGAGTAAATACCACCTATGGTCCCTCGAGTTTGGTGGCATCGCCATCAATGGTCCCTAACTTCCGTAATTACCATCCGTCATCCTCCGAGTTGTGAAAAGTTACCTTCGAGCGTCCTTCCGTTACTTCCTCCCATCTTAGCCGTCAAAATGGAGGGTAATATTGTCATTTGACTTATACGAAAAGAGTTAATACCAGCCAAATGACAATATTACCCTCCATTTTGACGGCTAAGATGGGAGGAAGTAACGGAAGGACGCTAGAAGGTAACTTTTCACCACTCGGAGGATGACGGATGGTAATTACGGAAGTTAGGGACCATTGATGGCGATGCCACCAAACTCGAGGGACTATAGGTGGTATTTACTCGTAAAACAAATATTAATAAAGAGCAAATATATGGACAACATATATTAACAACCGTTAATAAAGAGCAACTATAAAACGACTATGGACTTAAATATATATATACACAAACATATATGTATAAGGTTTTTTTTTTTTTTTTTTTTTTTTTTTTTTTTTTTTTTTTTTCTTTTTAAAGAAGGAAAGGGCCAACTGCCAGCCCAAAAACATGTTTTTTACTTCTAACATAGCCCAATCTACTGAGCCCATTCCCTATACCCGTTTCAGACCACCAAATCAGTGTTACAACCTATCCCCTTATTTATTCTGGCTCTCCGGATTGGGAAACTACAGACTATTCACCATAGTATTATCCGTCACTCGTTCTCTTAGCTAGGTTTACCATTCAGACCACCAAATCACGGCTAAAACCCATCCCCTTATCTGTTCTGGCTCTCCAAGTAACGGAAAACTGTATCCGAGGCATTTTTGCATCCGTTGCTCGTTCTCTTACCTAATTCTTTTCCGAACAGATATACACAAATGCATATATTTGTTCATCGTGTCTCTTTCATGAGCTATTTTGCGCGATTCACTCACAAAAATCAGAAGAACCTATTCTTGAGCCATTTGTTTTGCATGACCTAGATAAGTATTTTCTTTACAATTTTTCTTAAATTTATGTGCATCAAGGTGTTTCGAATCAGTTCCATTTACTGCTTCTTAGAGGAATTGCTACGGATTCAGATACTACTTACCATTACTATTCATTTTTGCTTACTATTTGTACATAGCATCCCAGTTTCACTGGGATTTTAATCCATGAATAGTGATAGCAATATCCATAACCTCTGATATGTTTATTCTCTATCGTTGCTTGGATTTCAATTTCTTACAGTTCGAATGTGCAACGTTACACTAACTCTGTTTTTTTTTTTTTTAATTATACGCTATTGTTCTAACTACTTTTGGGATTCAAAAATCCCCAAATCGCAGAAGTAAAGTGTGATTTGGAGCATGCAAGGCCAGATCTGTAATGGCCTGGAATAGATATCTGGACATGCACGGGTCAACTAATTAACCCTTGAAAAATCTTAAACTCTATTTATCCTACATTAGTTTGGGTATTTTTGCTCTTAATTACTCTTAGTTTCTGGTTTTGCAACTACTTACTATTAGACATAGTATTTACCATGTATTTGTTTATTTCAAAATTCAGAAATAGTTCATATCATATATACACCTAAGAATGAAAAAACCTTGGAAGAAACTTTAAAAAATCGAATTTACAGAACTAAGAAGCTTTAAAAGTTGAAAACTTACCTTTGTTTTCGAATAGTTGCTTCCTCTTCTTACCAATGGTTGTTGAAGTGGTATACTGTGGATACCTGTTCATCCCAATATGATACACTTATTTAATTAACCCGAGGTAGCCTGAATTACTAAACTCGATAATAATAGGACTAGGATAATGCGGTAATAAAGGCGATAAATGTGTGCCGCAGGGACAACTTTTGTATTGATAATGTTTGTAGGAGAATTACAAGGTGAGTGTAATAATAAGACCAGAAGTAGATGCCCTTAACAAGAAAATGATCCCCCTTTTTATATTAGCTAACCTCCTAACCGCCCACCCTATTCTCGTGGGGCAGTTGGATCGCAGTCTGATCGAGTCCACGCGAGGACCCGCGGAAGCCTTCTGCCCCTAGGTCGAGGTAGGCCCCAGCCGTGGTCGACAGGTCGAAGTAGACCCCTGCCGAGGTCGACCTTGGCTGGGCCGCGGGAGTCCTCTAGCCGAGGCCTTAGTCGGCCCGTGCCGGGGCCG